AAAAAAAAAAAATGTTCAGAGTTTATCATAACAAAGGAAAATGCACATAATTTTAAATGAAAAAAATACAACAAAATTATATTCAAAGAATAATCTCAAATGTGTAAAACAAGCATAGAAAAGAACAGAAGTAAGGTGGGCGCAGTGGCTCACGCCCATAACCCCAGCACTCTGGGAGGCTGAGGTGGGAGGATGGCTTATGGTCAGGAGCTCCAGACCAGCCTGAGTAAGAGCGAGACTCATCTATACCAAAAAATGGAAAAAATTAGCCAGGCATGGTGGCCTGGCCTATAGTCCCAGCTACTTCGGAGGCTGAGGCAGGAGGATCACTGGAACTCAGGAGTTTGAGGCTGCTGTGAGCTGTGATGACAACACTGCACTCCAGCCACGGTGACAGAGTGAAAGGCTAAGAAAAAAAAAAATTAGCACAAATCCCCACAACCCTCTGAAAAAAGCAAACACCCACATCAAGTATCCATATGTACAGAAAGTACAAAGAATAACCCCTCTCCTGCACACCTTCCCCCTTCCTATAGGGGGACACAGAGCTCACCTGGTCAGTCCCCGGGATCACTTCGAACACACTCAGCTGGCTCCGGGTCTCCCGCATATACCGTTCCTTCTCAGGACACATGTCCGGGCACGTCCCAACAAAAGTCCTCGCTTTGTCCAGATCGGTTCTTTTCACCCGAGCTAGATGACGCCGAGTAAATGGTAAGAACGTACCACACAGATAGCAGGAACCCAAAGAAGTGTATTTTCATAATGATAAAAGGAAACATTAAAATTAAAAAAAAAACACAAATTACCAAGAAAAAGAAAAATACTTCTACAACTATGGGTCCCAGAGGAAGGGACTTACGGCCTACCCCTCTGGGCCGTGGACATCAAAGCTGACAAAGACCCCTGAGGCCACCCACCCCCAACAGACAGCCTCACTGCAGACTAAAGGTGAGGGCATACCCACACTTTAAGCCAGACGTTCCACCAGTGTTCTGTTACTCTTATCATGACCTCAGTGATAAACAATCATGGTGCAGCATGTTTACTGAAAGGACCAATTTGTTACAAATGCAAATATTCAAAATATACCACTGTTCTAAAACCGTCCTGGTATTCCTAAAGTTTTCAACGTAACAAGAATCACACGATGGAAAGTGACTGGGTCCTGACCAGAGTCAGTCAGCCACGACTACTAACTGAACAGTCACAAATGCATCAGAGGCCACAGACCCAACACCACAGAGCCCCGCGGAAAGAAGACGCCTTCACCACGCCCTTCCCAGGGCTCCTGGACCCTCCTCGCCATAGGCCGCACCTTGGCGCATGACTCTGTCTCTCTGGTCCAGTAGGCGGTACTTCTCCTCAGACGTCTCAGCCACTGTGCCGATCAGGGAGCTGAGGGATGACACGCAGGGCCCGAGGCCCTCAGAGCCCTCGGAGCCTGAGTCGAAAAGGTCTCCCTCAAACTGGAGGGTCTTCATTAGACTCGGCTTCTTCACTGGAGAGCTACATGGGGAACAACACATCAAGGGCCCTTGTATCACCCTGGCCGTTACATCATTTCCATTTCTGAACGTATCCCTTCATCTTTCAAGATTTTCTCTCCCTTAAAGCTAAGAAACTGTAAGCATTGAAATGAGATGAGCCTTTGTTTTTGAGACTGGGTCTTCCTCTGTCACCCCAGCTGGAGTGCAGTGGTGTCATCACAGCTCACAGCAGCCTCAAACTCCTGGGCTCTAGCGATCCTCCTGTCTCAGTCTCCCAAGTAGCTGGGACTATAGGTGCCACCACCACGCCGGGCTAAATTTTGTCTATGTTTGTAGAGACAGGGTCTTGCTCTTGCTCAGGCTGGTCTCCAACTCCCGGCCTCAAGTGATCCCCCTGCCTCCTCCTCCCAAAGTGGTAGGATTACAGGTGTGAACCGCCGCACCTGGCCGAGATGAGCCTTGATAGAGCCAGTGACAAGCACAAAAGTGGTATTCAATGATTTTTTTAAAAATTTTGGAATATTTCATACTTTTAAAAAGATGAGCTCATTTAAATAGCTAAAATGAACACTTATAGATTTCTATCTCAAAGAAATGAAATTCAACCTGAAAAAAATTTAATAGCATAAGGAAATATTATGTCCACGTTTTTTTTTTTTTTGAGACAGAGTCTCACTGTGTTGCCCGGGCTAGAGTGCTGTGGCGTCAGGCACAAAAGTGGTATTCAATGATTTTTTTAAAAATTTTGGAATATTTCATACTTTTAAAAAGATGAGCTCATTTAAATAGCTAAAATGAACACTTATAGATTTCTATCTCAAAGAAATGAAATTCAACCTGAAAAAAATTTAATAGCATAAGGAAATATTATGTCCACGTTTTTATACAGGAATTTATTCTGGCAGAAGGACACAGTAAGAGAACCCGGCATTCTCTCCCAGCTGCACCATGTTCTAGCTGGCCTTCATCATTTTCTGAACCTGAATGTAAAAGAAGAAGTAAGATTGGCCGAGTAAGAAATAAAAAAGAAAAAGCAAACCAGAAACTGCATGGATAGTTACAAAATGGAAAGTGAGGAAGACGACACATTGGCCAGAACATGAAAGGTGAAACCGAGTCCTGTCGAGGCAGCGCCCACGTGAGAGGAAAGGCTCGGGGCACAGAGCTCCCGTCACGCACCAGCCAGCTCAGCAGAGCGTGCGTCGCTGTGGTAAGCTGGGCCCACAAACAGCCACGCTGGAAACCGACAGAGTGATTACCAGGAACAGCCGTTCCAAGGGGCAGAGTTACTGCTTCTACGTGTGTGCGGTCAGGTGGAACTGCACACGACTGCACGGATGGTGGCTGGCCGCGGGACACTGCACCCCAGCACCCACTGGGCAGCACCTCACACAGAAAGGAGCTCTGCAGGCCCAAGGAAGCAACCTCCCTGAGTAGAAAGGACGCTGGGATCTCCCGCAGCTGCAGCTAAAAGGACTAGACTAGCTGCAAGAGCTCTGTGACCAGTCTCCAGAGAAAATGCCTAGATGCGGGAAAAGGCCACAGGAGGGCTTTCTCAGCCACCTGGGCCAGAGGGTACATAAGAATCAGCAGGGTCCACCACCCATGCAGCTGGCAGTGCCAGAGTCAGAAAACCGTCTCCAAATCCTCTGGCCAGGGACCACCAGCCCATGCTGGCTGGAGGGGTGGGTTCAGGAGGACCCCCTGCCACTCAGCCCCCAGTAGTTCTCAGCAACTGTCTCCCCCCACACCCCTCAGCCCCGAATCGGGCCCTAATCCCATTGCCCTTCCCGAACACAGTCATTAGGAGGGATCGGTCCCACCTTTTACTCAGGAGGCCGCCGGCCACAGCCCTCCCTGCGGGCTTGCCAAGAGGAGAGTGTTGAAAGGGCGTGTCCTCCGTGCCCTGGCTGGCTTCTTCTGCACTTGGCTTCTTCTCCTTCTGGGAAAAGGGTTTTTTGTTGGGACCTGAGGACACAGGAGGCAGAGAAGAGTTTATGCTATCCCAGATCGCTTGATACTGGACTTTTCTCTTTTCCTTTTGGGAAAGGAGCATTCTTATCATTGCCACGGGAGGTTAGAAAGAGCCCAGGGAAGTAACTAGGAGACACAAGGTCTGCTGGGAGCAGCCCCCCACTGGCCCTGGGGAGGGGCTCCCACACACAGGGCCTCAAACACAGAGCATTAGAGACTGTGAGAAGAACAGTTGAAAACTCACTTATTTTCTTCTTGTGCCAAAAGATAGCCACGTCTTTATGCAAACCTTTCCCCTTCTTTCTAGCCAGGGCTGCAGATGCCTGGAAAACAGTCCACAACCACCCGGTGTGAGGACATCAGGACACCAAAGCAAAAGAGATTGAAAACTCAAATGCAATGAGCAGAACAGACCATTCAAGAACACAAGGAGCCACCGTTCTTGGTCCAAGAGTGACACATCCACCCACCACGGTCTGTGTCCCTCCAGCTGTGGCAGTTGCAGACCTCACCTCCCTTACCTGTCACACAAGCGTGTTTGTTGCCTTTTTTTTTTTGACATTAACGACTCTGCTGTGATGGAACCATAAACTTGACCTCTTTGGCATTTGGTGAGGTGATTCTCACCAGCTGATCACATACACAGACACAGAAAGGTTGCCAAGTCCCATTGACGCACAAAAGGAAGTTCCAGAACAGGAAGTTCCAGAATGACACATACGGAATACCATCTATCACACAACACCCAGCTACATGTTAGTGTACTTGTAGATATGCTTACACAGATGTGTAGAAAAATGCACACCACACGAGGTAACTGGGGCTGCTCCTGGGAAACAGGAGAGATGGAGGCGCTTGCCACTGTGCATCGATTAGTTGTTTACAGTAGCAACATATTTATGTACGAGTTATGATGTAAGTATTTTAGGTTCAGCTAGGAGAATAAGCACATTGCAATAGGCAAAAAATAACTTTAAAAACAAATGGGGATTGTCCATAAAACTATCTCAAAAGAAAAAAAACAAATGGGGAGGGTGCAGTGGCTCACACCTGTAATCCCCGCACTTTGGGAGGCCGAGGAGGGAGGATCGCTTGAGCCCAGGTGTTCGAGACCAGCCTGGGCAACATGGCGAGACCTCGTCTCCATAAAAATTTAAACGTTAGCTGGGCGTGGAGGTGTGCGCCTGTAGTCCCAGCTACTTGGCAGACTGAGGCAGGAGGATCTCCTGAGCCCAGGAGTTTGAGGGTGCAGTGAGCTATGATGATGTCACTGCACTTTAGCCTGGGGGACAGAGCAAGACCCTGTCTCAAAAAAAAAAAAGAGGTTTACCATATTATCCAGCAATTCCACCCCTGAATATACCCCAAAAAATTGAAAGCAGGGACTCAAACAGATACTTGTATGCCAGTGAGCATTTTTCAGAATAGCCAAAGGTGGAAAGAATCCAAGTGTCCATCGATAGATGAATGGAGAAATAAAAATGTGGTCCATCCATACACTGGAACGTCATTCACCCATAAAAAGGAGTGAAGTTCTGATACACGCTACAAGACAGACAAACTTTGAAAACATTATGCTATGTCAAATAAGCCAGATACAAAAAGACAAGTGTTGTATGATTTCATGTATATGAAATATCTAAAATAGGCAAATTCATAGATAGAAAGTAGACTGGAGGTTACCAGAGTTGGGACAGGGACAGGGAATTAATGCTTAATGGTTACAGAGTTTCTGCTTGGAAAGATGAAAAAGTTTTGGAAATATATAGTGGTGATGGTTGCCCATCACTGTGAATGTAATTAATGCCAATGAAGCACCGATAAAAAGATCGGTAGGAAGGAGTACATGTTAAAAGTCCTGTGACTACACCGGTTCCCTCTCATCCACAGGGAAACATTCCAAGACCCCCAGTGGAGGCTTCCAAGCTTGGATAGTATCAACTCATATATATATACTTTGTTTTTTTCCTATATATACCTATGATAAAGTTCAATTTACATAATAAATTAGGCACGGTAAGAGATTAACAACAGGAACTAGTAATCAAATAGAACAATTATAACATACTATAATAAAAGTTTGTGAATATGGTCTCTCTCTCTCTCAAAATACCTCATTGTGTATAATGTTTTCCAACTGCAGTTGACCATGTGTAACTGAAACTGAAGAAAGTGGAGGACTACTGTATATTTTGGCACAACATTTTTATTTTCAAGGATTTAAAAAAAGGATATAAATTAATCATAAATGTATGCACAAAAATATCCAAAAACAGGAAAATGGCCAAGTAAACAGGATAGGATGCCATGTGGCATTTAATAATCCCATCCTAGACTGTTTATTGATTTCATAAAATAGTGAAGATTACTACATGAAGAGTTCATCAAACAGTATATGCAGTAGGATCCCATTTGTGTAAAAACAGTATGACTACATATTTGCAAAGACCAAATATTTGACTACATATTTGCAAAAACCAAAATATTCATAGCTGTTATCATCGGGGGTAGAACTTGAGTGACTTTATATTCCCCTCAGTAGAGCTTTCTGGGTCGTCTCCCTACATTGACAGGCAATACTTCTATCATTAAAAAAAACTCATAAAATATGCCTTCTACTTTATACATTCCTACAGAACTTTCAACGTAAGAATATTCAGAAAAAATAATAACAATATAAAGCTACATAACACGAGCGCGCCATGCACACAGGCACCCTACAGCAATGTATTATGCGTACATTTAAAGTCACAATACAAACCCAGGGATTAACAGCCATTATCTCTGGGGGACAGTGTTATGAAGGGGTTTCACTTTTTCCATGTTGTTTGAATGTTTACAGTGATCATGTATCATGACCAAACAAAACAAAAACAAAACCCAAAGACTCAAGTTTGAAAAGTTCTGTGGTTACAGAGCCACTCCAAAGCCTTTCAGATGAATCTGACTTCATGGGAACCACTCTCCCAGCATCTCTCGGATACAGCGCCCTGCAGGGACCTGGAGCTTTTCACAAACGACTCCAAGTTATGAAATAAATAGTGCTACCACAGCCTCTCTAAGTTAATAAGAAAGTATTTGAGTACTTTTCTTACAGTATAGCAAATAACTGATGGATTAAAAAAAAAAGGCTTTAAATTAGCAAAGTTCAAATTTAGGGTAACCAATGGCAAGTCAAGAGTACTCACATGATCAAAAAAATGCACCACTGCAAGCTTTTTGCTGCGCCTGGTAAAGATGCGCTGCACTTTAGCAATTTTGCTGAAGTGGTTCTCCAGAATGGTCCTGTCGTTGAGATAGTCAGGGATGTTCTTGCACTGGATTGCTGTGACTTCAGTGGGAGACAAGCCCCCAAGACTGTCTGTGCTCTCACTTCTTTTGCTCTGACGCACAGGAGTTCCTCTTAGAGAATCTAGGAGTTCAGAGAACAGACGCGTAAATCCATGAGATGTAACTCTTTCAAATAACAGGAGGCACCAACTGTGCAAAAGCAAAGGAAATTTTCATGGACGTAAGACCTGCTCCAAGGTCCTATCATGTTAAGATCCCCAATGTTTATCGGGGCTTTATCTGGAAAATCAAGCTAATGGCCAGAGAAACTTACTGAGAATCCGCCAGCAGGATTTACTCTATGTGGTACATGTCGAGAGCTCACCTTCTTTTTTATCTCTACTTGCGGTTTCTTCCTCTTTATTCACACCTGGAAGCCGGGAAGGTGCCAGGACAGACTGACTCCCTCCTGGAATGGCCATGTGGTCACTTTCCCCAGACTCAACAAAGCCAATTTCCTTTTTAGATTCCTTGTTGCCCAGACGACCTACTTCTTTATTGCTTTTGAAAACATCCTGTATCGTCCGACCAAACAAAGTGCCTCCTCGGGGTCGATTCAGGCGGACAGGTCGTTTATCTGGAGGATGATCGCCCCTGGACAGGGGGTCCGAATCTTCTGCTGTCTCATGGCCGTGTCTCCTTGGGGAACGATCCTGGTCCTCCTTCCTTTTCAGTCCTTTCATGAGGCTGGGAAGTGGCTCCATCGGGGAAATACCTTCTTCACACCCTTGTCTGACATCTGTTTTGCTAACTGGGAAGGGTTCGCCCAGCGCCCCAGAAGATGACATTGGGAAGCTACTGAAGCCACTACTAGGACTCCCAAATATCGATTTAGGTCCTCTCTTCTCTTCCTCTACATTTTGATTTGACAAAGGAGGAGTAAAAGTAGATGATGAATTATTACTATTAACTGGTTTTGAAAAAGTAAAATTTGAATTGGTAGCTGAACTACTTGTCACCTGAGGAAAAGAAAAAGGGGCCAGGCCTCCAGGCCCACTACTAATTGGGTGGGAAAATGTGAAAAACCCAGAAGTAATCTGGCTCTGGGTTTTCTCTGGCTCAGATTCAGCCCCCAATATTGGTCTGAACACTGCATTTTCCAGAGGTTTAAAGCTGAATTCTGTTTTCCCAAAACCAGAGCTTGTTGTTTCTCCAGCTTCTGGTCCAAAAGTAGAAGTACTTGGGAAAGCCGCAACATTGGTGGGTGATTTAAAACTAAATCCTGGGTTTCCAGGCACAGATGAACTTGAAGGCCCAGAGGTAGCTACAAAGGTAGGAGGAGTGTGTTCAAGTCCGGAAAAGAGTCCAGCACTTGAAGTTTGGGTGAATCCTGATGTTTGCACTGAAGAGGAATAACTTACTCCAGAAGACGCTGGAAAGCTGGGTACCTGTGAAAATCCTGAGCTCTTCCCAGATAATGTATTGTTTTGTCCAAAAAGAGGAGGCTGACCAAATCGAAACGGTGGCTTAGGCTGAAATGATCCTATGGCACTACTAGATGTTGGGAAAGCACTAGGCTGTTGCCCGCTAAAAGGATTTGTTGGGTTCATCTTCTGATCCAATTATTAAAAGGTAATAAATATTGTGTGTACAAAATTAGTCTTCTTCCTTAGTATGCTGCACTAGGGAGCTCCCTTCACCGTCAAGATAAGCTGAAAGACAAAAATTCAGATCATCACAACTGTATTCTGCTAGAAGACTAATAAACGAATTTTTGATCATGTCATACTCTAAAGATAATTACTTAAAAGGCAGCCAAAGCACTGAGAGCCAATAGGTTCTTTTGCTGGAGGGCAGAGTAGAGAGTGGTACAAACAGTTACTTTGTTGCAGAGGATTAAAGCTTGATACTTTGTGATTTTTTTTTAAAAATCCGAATCATTTTACTGAATTGATAAATTCACGAAAAACCTCAATTATTAATAAAATATGAATGCCGTTATACCTTTCAATTTAAAGAGAGGAATTTCTCCGACTTCTTCCTCTCTCCATGGCCAGAGATTTACAATGTAACATTGTTAAAACATTAGTGTTCCAGCGTTTCCTCCCACCTAATTTTTCTCCCAGTACCCGGAGCACTCAGTACCGTTCCCAAGCACAGAAACACTGTTTTTCATACCCTAGCGACCGCCCCAGGAACTCGCTCGAAGGACCAGCGCGTTCACACGCAGACGCGGACGCAGCCTCCGGGCGGGAGGGCCGCACTGAGGGGGGGTCTTTCACCGGCGAAGGGTCTCGAAGGCCGCTGTGCCGCCCGGGCTCGCAGGGGCCGCGGCGCCCAGCCCGCTCCGTCGGCGACGCTGCGGAGGGGAGCGCAGGGCTCCGCGGGGCAGGCAGCGGGCGTCCGCGCCGGCCCGGCCTCCAGGCGCCGCTCGCCGACCGTCCGCAGCACAGCGAGGCCCGCCGCCCGCCGCCACCGCGCTGCGTCCCTCGGGGCCGAGATGGGGGCGCAGGAACAGGCCGCGGCAGCCAGCGTTTCACTGCGCCCGGCGGGCGGAAAGTCGCGGCGAACTGACTTCCGGTCCGCTCCGCGCCGCCGGGTCCCACCGGGTCCCACTGCCTTCAGGTTCCGCTCTGCCGGTGGCGGCGGGACTTCCAGTGAGGCTTCCGGTGGGGTGGGCCACCGCTCTCGCGCCTCCGCCGTGTCCTTGCCCAGGCTCCGCCGGCTTCAGATAGCGGTACGTGCGTGGCGGGTTCCTCCTCTCCAGAATGAGGGCGTCGTACTCAGCGGTGTGGGCCCGCGGAAAGCCCCCAGCCAAAGACGGC